CTGCTTATATAAAAGGAAAAGACTATAATCCATTTATAGGTATACAAATTGCATATTTTAATATAATAATTGAAAAGGAACTGCACCTAAACTTAGAATGTAACCATTAAGAAAATCACTTACTAAAAAATAAATCAGCATTTGATGGTACTGCTATAATATCATTACTTAATAACATCTAAAGACTGCCTATTGCAAAAATGCTTAGTGAGTTATAGAAGGCCTTCCATTCTATCTCTTAACCTAGCCACACCATGCTGGTTTTATTAACACTCTTCTTAATACTGTAGGATTTCATCCAGTCTGTTTCTTATACTTAAAACATGCTTTCTGAGCCATCAAAGTCTTTCATATTTAACAGTTAGATTTTTGCCTGTGTTTGAAAAATAATCTGACAAGATGGCTTAAACAATAAAGGTATTCATTTCACCAAATATCAAGAAGTTTCAGTAAGCTTAGCAGGTCCAGGACTGATTAATTCATAGGCTTAGTTATTTCATCAGCCAGATGTGGTGGCACACATGTATAATCTCAGTATGGAGAAGTTTGAGGCAGGAGGATCTTGAATTTTAAGCCACCTTGAATTACTTACAAGGTTTGCACACTATATATAGTGAGACTTTGTTTCAAAACAGGGAAAAGGTGGATGAATTAATAGACACACTAACAGAATTAACAGTTTTTCCATCTTTTCTCAGCTGACTTAACCAATACTTTATTCAAGCCTTGTTTTGATGTCTACCACTATTGAAAATAACTGTGGATGACAGCACCCACTAAAACAGAAAAAAAAAAACCCTGTCTATTCCTTTCTAAAAATGAGGAAAGTGTTTCCCACAAAGATTTATCTTTTCATGGCTAGAAGAGCTTCAGACACCCACATTTATGCCAGCAGTTCAGGACTAGCTTAGATCAGTTTTTTCCAACTTGGTTTTTTTTTTTTTTTTGGCCAGTCCTGGGGCTTGAACTCAGGGCCTGGGCACTGTCCATGAGTTTCTTTTGTTCAAGGCTATGAGGAATCAAACCCAGGGCTTCATGCATACAAGGCAAGCACCCTACCACTGAGCTACATTCCAAGTCCAGTTTTTCCAACTTTTAAAACAGCTCATAGTAAGCTGAATGCCAGTAGTTTAAGCCACTACTCAAGAGGTTGAGATCAGAGGATCACCGTTCAAAGCCAAAAAAGAAAGCCCATAAGATTTTTATCTCCAATTAACCACTAAAAAGGTAGAAGTGGAGATGTGTCTTAAATGATAGAGCACCAGCTTTGAGCATGAAAGCTAGGGGCAGCAGCATCCAGGTCCAGAGTTTAAACCCCAGTGTTAGCACATGCGCACGCACACACACACACACACACACACACACACACGCACGCGCGTGCACGCAACAATTCATAGTAAGCAATGCTTTTTATATCATGACCTAATATGCATTAAATTTTAAATCAAGAATACAAAAGATATATATGTCTATGTCATAAAAGATAACTTATGGAGTCCTAATTATCTTTCTCTCCACTACTTTTGAACTTGATCACCATATTTTTGCATTTTGCATAGTTATTACTTAGAATCTATGTGACATAGTCCACCATACTTTATTCTATTTCATTTTTAAAAAGATATACTAAGCCAGGTGCTGCTGGCTTGTAACCCTAGCTACTCAGGGTGCTGAGATCTGAGGATCATGGTTCAAAGCCAGTCTGGGCAGGAAAGTCTGTGAGATTCTTATCTCAATTAATCACTGGAAAACTCGAAGTAATGTTGTGGTTCAAAGTGGTAGAGCACTAGCCTTGGGTTAAAAATCTCAGGGACAGTGCCCAGGCCCTGAGTTCAAGCACAGGAATGACCAAAAAAAATATACTGAGGGTGACACTGTCCAAAAATAAATGCATTCTTGGGCTGGGAAGGTGGTTCAGTGGTATAGTATTTTCCTTGCATACATGAGGCCCTGGGTTCAATTCTTCAGCACCACATAAGCAGAAAAAGCTGGAAGTGGTGCTGTGACTCAAGTGGTAGAGCACTAGCCTTGAGCTGAAGAGCTGAGGGATAGTGCCCAAGCCTAGAATCAGGCCCCATGACCGACCAAAAAAAGAAATGTATTATTTACTTGATTTCGTGTAACTGTCATCCCTTTATAAAGCACTTTTATAATAACAACAAAAGCTTTTTAAGATAGACTGATAGTTGTAACGTAAACTTCATCACTTGTGAGAGCGAAGTCTTGAAAGGATAATTGACAACCGAAGAGACAAAGTAGGATTCCCTTGGAACTGTTTTTGGAACTGTGCTGTAAGGATGAACTGCAAAGGAAAACTACAACCTCATTAAACACCCCTGAGCCATAGATCTTCTTTTTACTAAAGTCCTCCCCAGACTGACTTGCTTGCTACGAGAGAACAAAACAATGAAATCCAAGGAACATCTTGTGTGTAAATGGGCAGAGTATCATGAAAAGGTTAGAGTCATGAAAAGGTTCCACAAAATATGTAGTACACAAAAGCAAATTTCCAAGTGGTTTTTCTAGAGGTCCATCTTTCTTAGCAGTTCACTCAGCTGACAACAAGTTAACAGAGTATAGATTTACACATTAACTTCTAAGAGGAGATTTAAGGGTCCAGGTAAATAAGAAGCTCAGCCAACACAATATTTACTCCTATAGTTTTGGGACAGAACAGCAAGCCCAAATTCAAGAGATTTCATATAGTTAATCAGGGTTAGGTAACTAGAAAACTGTAAAATTTTGTTGCCAAAAAAAGGAAAGATATTCAAAAAGATGGCTGATAGTCACATTCTGGCAGAAACAGGAGGAGAGAATTGGGACAAAACTTCAATACAAAAAATTATTAATGCGAGCTTTGTATAATTTCTATAAGATCTGAAAATGTAATAGACAGTTTAAGGGCGAGATCATACTAAAAGAGTGAAAATATTTTCATGTAAATATTGCCACTACAAAATTTTGAATTATATTTATAGCAGCAAAATATAGAATTAAGAGCAAATAGAATAAAACATCTGAAGAGCAGAATTACAAAATCCAAACTGAATCTAATGGAAGAAGAAAAAATATGACTAGATTAGACAAAATTACTACCTTGGCAATGAGATATCGATCACTAAGTTGAACAGTGTGTTTGAAGGAAAAAAAAACAGAATGAATTGAATGACAGAAAAAGGGACATGGAAAAATTCTTGGAATAATAGACATTCACTCTTTCTTGATTTATCTACTCATCAATTGAACATTTAAAATGTGTATATTTTATTGTATGTAAATAATATCTCAGTGAAGCAAAGTTAAAACAAAAAAATCTAACATTGAAGAAGTCTAAAATACCAAGAATGAAAGTTCTTAAAGCAACTGAGGAAAGAGGTTATACAAGTGCAGCAAACACTTTGATTGCATGGAACATACAAAATAAGATTTGTTTTAAGGTCAATAATAATTAAGTATATAAAATAATTTATAAAATTCTATGTTCATTGCTGTTTGTTGTATAGTGCTATCTGTGTTTGCTTTTGTTTTCTTGGATTACATCTTTTGGTAATTCAGTGTGGATCTATTCATTCTTTCAAGATGCTCTGTTTTCATTTTGTGTATATGAAATGCTTTATTTAGCTATCAGTATTAAATGGGTATAGGACAAATAGTATTAAAGAAATGTTTTTTATGTCATGGAGGAAAGTTTGGAAAGTACTAGAATAAATTTCTTAGGGGCCAAGCAAAAAATTATATTTTTTGTTAATAGCACATGTCTGTATAGTGGAGTGGTCACCAGGTATATCTGGAAGAGTTCATCCTTGGACAAGATATAATTGCTGTCTTTTAATCTAATTCTCTCAGATAGAAGGGATACCTACCTATAGTGTTTAATTTTCTCAGGTTTCCTACTGGTCCATATTGACTTGATATATCAGATAGACTTGAAAATTTTAGAATTGTCTTTTGCCACAAAAATTCTTTAAGATCACATTTATGTTTGATCTAGCTTAGCCAAACAATAGAGAAAGTCTTGATATGTCTTCTCCGATTCTGTTTTTCTCAATTACAAAGTACCTTCTGAATAATGCTATACTCAAGGCTTTTCAAATGTTATTTAGGTTGTAAATATTTTATATAAGACATTGTAAAAACCATAATACATGTGTCTTTTATGAAAATTTGCTATAATTCCAGCTCAAAATGAAAAGAGGAAATCTTTGTATCCTGTTGACTTCAAAGAATCGGCAAATGAAAGGTGATTTACTTTTGAAATTTTTTAACTTATGTTTCTCTGTACTAGGGATGGAACTCGGGGCTTCGTGCAAATTGCACAAGTAACTCTACTATGTGAGTCACTCTTTCAGCCTTGCTGTCTTTGCTGTCAGTTGGGGAAAAGGAGAGGAGAAAGTGATGAGGAAAGGGTCCCTCACCTCTGGTCTCTGCCTTTGCTGTGGCAAGCCCTACACCTCGATGTTCTGTGACTGCTGACAGTCTATTTTCTCCAAACTTGGTCAGGGTCCACTCTCAAATCTTACTCTGAGCCTCTCATTTCCTTTAGATGAGACTCTCATCTATGTCAGCCCTTTGCTCCAGGTCACCTCAATCCTGATGGACAAGGCTCTTGGCAAGCCTAGATACTTTATCTAACTCCCATGTGAATCATGGGAGACCTGGAATGCAAATGTCTTCTTGCATCCTCTTCACGAAACTGAAGCCACCCTCTGTTGGCATGAAGTTGTCCTGCAAACCTTCTCCCAGACTCTCAGCAAAAGATGGGGCCAATAGACCTCCACCCTTGCTGTTCTCCTCCATCTACACAGCGTAGTCCCTCCCCATACAGAAACAAAGGATGGTATGTTGTTGACCCTAGTGTTGTTTCTTCCCCCACTCTTGTTTTCTCCCCAAACTAGGCAGGAAGTATAATCCTATTCGTTTAAATGTTTGTGGGATAGGGATTAGTAGAGATGTAATAAATTCGTATATGAATGTTTCACTGAACTTGTGTTCATTTTCAGAAGATCATTTCCTCTACCGATAAACAATTGTAGAACAGGAGAAAATAGAACAATCAGGAATCGTCCATTACGTAAATATCATTCAGCAAAGAAGGAAGATTTGATCCCCTTGTGCATTGAAGATGAACTGAAAAACCCAAAGGCCAAGATAATCGACATTAGTACAACCAAGGGAGGAACATCTCACATGGTAATAGCTACCATTATTTAGTAACTACTAATGCTACAGGACTCTGAAGGATAGACAATAGATGGCTTAAAAGTCAGAAATCACCCCCAGTCACAGCCTTAGACTGCTTGGTGGGGTTGGTCCCTGCCATTATCACAGGTCAAGCTCATAACTCTGTTGTTGGAGGAGTTACACTTTCTCCAGTCTGTCCGCCTGACTTCCACCAACTTGAGTGTTTTTCACACAGTCCCCCCTGTTTCTAAAGTAAAAAGTCCTAACAGGCATACCTAGGTCCCATGCCTAGACTGTGACCCCAGCAAGGCTGCAAAAGATAGTTTCTGTCTCTATTAATGGGTACATAAACTTTAAGTGGAAAATTCCTTCAGGTGGTGGACAGGTCAAAAATATGGCTAATGTCCACCACTGTGGCTAACTCTAGGTACTGTTGTCAACACCAGTGATTGAAAAGCTAATCTTGGGCTGGGAAGGTGTCTCAGGGGTAGAGCACTTGCTTTGCATACATGAGGCCCTGGGTTCAATTCCTCAGCACCACATAAGCAGAAAAAGCAGTAAGTGGCACTGTGGCTCAAGTGGTAGAGCGTTAGCTTTGAGCTGAAGAGCTGAGAAGTGCCCAGGCCCAGAGTTCAGGCCCCACGATCGACAAAAAAAAAAAAGAAAGAAAGAAAGAAAGAAAGACCTCATCTCTTGTCATTGTTTTAGTAATCACAGGCATTAGCCTGCCTTTTATACTAAGAACACCATGTACAAGGAATAATATCTTTCTCCATGAATTACATGTTAAAAGAAAAAAATAACAATCACTGCGTTAAAATTTACAAACTAAATACCAATAATATGCATAATTGACCTTTATAGTTAACATTTTCACCCAAAGGCAAGAAGTAAAGGTTGTGGGAACTAATACTGGAATTGTGAGGTTTGAAAAAGGAACAGATTTTGCTATGATTAAAATGGTCTGTGTTTGAGTTCATCTATCCTTTGACTATTTCATTCTATGAATACATATTAAGCTAGTAAGCAATATTTTTAAAAACTGTATGGGGGTTTAAACTTAGGTCTTTGCACAAAGAAACATAGGTCCCATGGTTTTTCTTATCTGCAATAACAAGTATATGTCTAAGACAAGCAGAAGAGGTCAAAAGCTATGTACATATGACTATATAAGCTTATGCTAAGTGAAATGAACTCTAAGACTCCAAAATAGAGACACAAGAGAGTTTACCTTTCTTGTTGTTCTTTTTAATATACTTATAATGTACTATGTAATTTTTGTTTGTTTCTTTGTACGTTCTTCCCCCATGGTATAACCCCTGTTGCCATTGTATTTGATTCCAGTGTCCTGCATCTTGTATATACATTTTTCTAATTTGAGGAGGGGAAGGGAAATAACAAAATGCTGAAATAAGGATACAGGATGACCCATTGTAATAATGAGATGTACAAGACACTATGTTGAAAACGAACTTTACAACTTAGTGGGAGGGGGGGGAATTGGGGAGGTGGGGAGGGAAGGGATGGTAGAGGGAAAACAAAGGAGGAGGTAATAATGCTCCATAGGAAATGTACTCAATACCTTACTCATGTAACTGTAACCCCTCTGTACAGTATTTCTACAATAAAAAAACATTAAAAAGAAACCTTGGAGGTTCCCTTGTAGTTAGATTTCGGGAGGAGATAGTACACTGTACCATTCTACAAACTAGTTGCCTTTGACAATAGCTTCATTTCCCTTTTCAAACCTTTATGAAATGTTTATCACTTACCACTTTATTTGCAAAAGGATTTAAGAAGGCCAAAGATTCAGATTTGTGTCTAATACCTCTATAGAATACAAAATTAGAAGTATGTAGTATACAAGTAGCCTGCTTTTATATATTTGAATGCTGTTATTGTCCATCTTAAATACGTTGATGTAAGTCATCGTTAGAGTATTTTACTATTTTAACTTCAGGTTTAAAAAAATATATGTAGCTTTCTTACCTTAATAGACTAATGACTAAATCTCTTTTTTAAAAACCCACAGGAACAAAGTGAAACACATCCCATGATTTTCCATGACTCAAGACATATACGAGCATTACTTTTGACAAGAAATAGATTTTCTTCCCATTTTAAGGAAAGAGAACATTTTTACCAATACAGAAGAACAAATTTTGTTTTAGAAAGAAATTGTGCCATCCTAAAGTCTTTAATCAGAGAGCCATCTGTTCCTGTCTGCAAACCCCAAAGTTCATTGTCCACAGCAGAGAAAGGAGCTATAAAAGCTATAGCTACTGAAATGATCCACAGAGCTGTGCATGATAAACCAAAGATGCAAATTAGTAGTCAGACTACTACTATAAAACCTTGGAGTAAATTTCACAACTTATCACAGACCTTTTCCAACCTAACAAAGAAATTTGTGGGTTACTTTGATAAGACATTTATTCATGAAGGGAGTGCTGGAAGTGGAAAAATAGAAGAAATAGCTTCCACAATGAGACCAATAAGCTCACCCAAAATCTATACCTCATCCATCAAATGTTACCCAAAGCATGTGAAAAATGTACTTGCAGTACATCGAATAGATAATCTAAGTCCTCTGGATGACTTTTTAACATCATCAAGGAAAATTTAAGTGGCTCACAAATACCACTTACACAGTAGTATCTGGGCAATAAGATCTCAGCAAGTAAGCAAGCACAAGCCAAGTGCCAAGATCACTAAAGAAATCCCTACCCAAATAGCAATGCTGTATTGCATGGTATATGAAACATAGAAATTGGGGCCACAAGTCACCAATGGGATAAAGATCAATTATGTGCTAAAATTAAGAGATAATTATGAAGAGGAACTTGTTCATCTCCTACTATCTCTGTTAGACTGCCTAGTCATCATTAGTACTATAAGAAAATTCTACTCATTACCAAAAATGGTATAAATTGATTGGACACTTGCTGTTGGAACCTAAATAACATGGACAATATTATTTTACAGCTGAATAGAAATAAAGCAAATGTACTATTAATTTAATGAATATTGAGTTAATTGATGTATCATCATTTTTGAGAATCATGGAGAAAGTACATGAAAATGTATGTGATTAAAAGGGTCTTGTAAAATCTTGAGTCACTTTTTTTTATCTGAGATGTTGAAACTTCAGTACTGTCTTGCCTTTTCCAAGTATGACTTGAACTTTTTCTCAGTTGTTAAATAACTTGATAGAAACTTTAATAAGCGAAATCATTTTGAGGGCCTAGGTCTGGTTATGCACACCTGTAATTCTACTAATTTAGGAAGTAGAGATCAGGAGAATATCAGTTCAAAACCAGCTCCTGAAAAAAAGCTAATGGGACTCTATCTCAACAAACAAGCTAGGGGCCTTGTACACAATCCATCTACCTGTACCATGTACCTGGGATTACAGACATAAAAAAGGAATAGGTGTATGGTGTATGTGGTAGAGTACCTACCTATCAGGTGTGAGGCTCTGAGTTCAAACTCTAATAATGAAGTAGTAAATAATTTTAGTAGTATTATAAAATATTGAACAGTTTATAATATGCTGTTATATTACAATTTCACTGTTTCTTACTAACTTCTCATTAACTCAAACAGTTTAAAAGCTAAATGCATCTTCTAAACAAGGTACCTTTCAAAGGTTCCCTTGTAGTTGGATTTCAGGAAGAGACGCGGTTTATCAATGTTCTTCAATAAAGCCTAGTTATTAACAGTTTGCCTACATTGGATTCTGGGGTAATTTTCTTTGTTGTTCTCAAAACACATCTGATATCTCAAAAGGCAGTGAGAAAATAAATTCACAGGTATATCTAAACTTGTGCTTTATGAAAAAGCAGTATTTCTATAGTTGCCATAATTTTAGGAGAAAAGTAAGCAAGCATAGAATTTTTTACTCCTGATGTTTAGTTCTTGAGGAAAAGCAGGTAGGTTGAGAAGCCTTTACAGGCATTAGAAGTCTTTCCCAACTTCCAAGAATGAGGTCAGGTGGCTCAGATTTGGAGAAGGTAGGAAGAAACACTTATTTTTCCTTTCTTCTGGTTACTAGCTGTATAGGTGGAAAAGCTGCAACGGCTCAGCTATGAGTCATTAAGAAAACAACTAACAGTCCCTTTTCAGCCAATCACCAGCAGCCAGGCCACCCCGCCATACCTATATTAGGCAAATCTCATCACACCATTCCCCAGTAAGTCAGATGCCTTGTGCTGTAGCTAATCGGGCGATTTATCTGCCTCACTTCCACACTCTGGTTATGAAAAAGCTCACTGCTTCTACTATTTCCCTTTTGTTGTTTTCTAGCTATTATCTTGAGAATTTTCCCTCAGACTTTCACTGTAAAGCATTAGAGATCTAACAAGAGTCTTTGTTAGATCAGAAGAGAAAATAGACTCCCTGACACTCAGCATAAGAATAGTAAGTGTGGGCCTTAGAACAGGGCAAATGGAACTTGGACAAATAATGTCTGATATCTAAATCTCAGTTCATTGTATCTTCACCTCAAGACGGAAGCAACAGTACTTCATTATAGTATGATTTTCTAGGATTAAACAATGCCTAGTTTTTTGGTTTTTTTTTTTGGTTTTTGTGTTTATTTTTGGCAGTCGTGGGAACTCTGAGCCTGGGCGCTGTTCCTCAGCTCTTAAGCTCAAGGATAGTGTTCTACCGTTTAAACCACAGTGCCACTTCCAGTTTTGTAAGTGGGTTTTTTGGAGATAAGAGTCTCAAGGACTTTCCTGCCCAGGCCAGCTTTGAACAGCACTCCTCAGATTTCAGCCTCCTGTGTAGCTAGGATTACAGGCGTGAGCCACTGACACGGGGAAATGCCTATTATTTTGAGCATTGTAACTTCAATAAAGATTTCCTATCTGCAGCCAACAGTTCTTTAAGGTGGCGTTTTTCTCTTTCTTTTGCCATTCCAGTCCTGGAGCTGGAACTGAGGGCCCAGGTGCTGTCTCTGAGCTTTTGTGCTCAAGACTTGGCACTCTACCACTTGAGACTCAGTTCCACTTCCATCTTTTGGGTGGTTAATTGGAAATGAGAGTCTCATGGATTTCCCTGCCTGGGGTGGCTTCAAGCTGTGATCCTCAAATCTCAGCCTCTTGAGTAGGATTACAGGCATGAGCCACCTGTGGCCTAGTGCAAGGCTGTTCTTAATATAACTTTCTTGAAAGAGGTCTTCAATAACTGATCTCTCCAATTTTATCCAAATGAAATGTTAAGCCTAACTATTCAAGCTTTAGCCTATAAAAGGCCAACAAAGTGAAGTCTTTATTTTTGGCCTTTTTTATCTGGTGCTTTATCCTTTTGAAGGCACTTCAACTTGGCTGATGGTTCTCCATTAAAGCAGTGGCAGAGCTGAGAGGAGCTGAGAAGGTAGCAATTTGAACCCAACACCTTCTCTACTCATAGCTCTAATCGTTTCCTAAACAACCAGTTACTGGGGTCATCAAGAAATGGGGTCAAGGTAGGGATTTGATTTCTATTCTGTGGCTGAGGATTGAGCATGGTCATGAAGACCACACTGCATCACAAGCAATGATGGAGATTGTACTATGTCCATGGATGTAATCCCTGTGTAGCAACCTCCCAGGGCACAGAACCATCTGCTGAATAGTTTGAGAGGTCTGTTGGAAAATACTCAGCACAAACTGTCAGAATAAACCTAGCTTCTACTAAACCCACCCGAGCTATTGCGCTGGACCCAATAGCAAAACCCAAACAAGTTAGATTTCTATGATGAGGGCATCTAACTCTTAGTCAACCCATTAATTAATGAAAGGTAAGATGTCAAAACTAGTTTGAAGAAGCATTTGAAGACAGACAGACAGTCAAGGCAGCCCAAAGAATGCTCCAATGAATACACTAATAAATACCATCCTACTCTGTGAATAAAAAATAAAGGGGGGTTGGTAATATAGCTCAGTGAAAGAGCATTTGCCTGGCAACTGCAAGGCCCTGAGCGTGGTCCTCAGCTCTGCAAAAGAAAGGAAGGAAGAAAGAAAGGAAAGAAGAAAGAAACTTTAAGGTCGTATTCTCTACTGGAGGGAAAGCACCATATGTGTACAGAAATTTCCCTGCACATTGGTATGGTTTTCTAAAAGTTAAATTCTTCTGAACAGCCAAAGCTTCACATCTCCATAGACTTAATCTACAAGGCACGCACCTGACAAATCCCATCACTCCCAGTGGCAGGACATTCAGTAATCATCTTTCTTATTTGAAAGTACAGATAAACTGTGACACGTTTCCACCTGGAAGCCATTCAGAAAATACCAGAGACAGCTCATTTGTCTATAAGAGTTTGGTGCCCAGAGTTGGATTATAGGTGTGGTATAAGACCAAGGTTATTTTATTTCAGTACTCAAAGGGAAAATTAAAACCAATTATTATTAAAGCTGAGGGGATCATATTAACCGTAAATCCTATTTGCTGCCTATTTTACTCTAAAGAAAACTTTAATTATATCTGTATAGCAGTAGCAGTGACATAAGAAAGGGATTGGTCAGTTTGCAGTAGTAGATCCTAAGGTGGCATTTCATTTGTCAACATACGTTTAAGAAAGACAAATAGTTCATTTGATCCAAATAATACACTTTTGGGTAAACATTATGTTTAGAATCAGTATATGGGCTATCTATTTCAGGTATGATTTACACATTAGTGACTAGTTGGTTAATTCATGCCAGAGAAGGTAGTTCTATTTCATTCTTTTTTTTAACCCTTGCATCTTTACTATTTTTCTCTTTTCTTTCCCCATCTTGTTAAGGGCTCAGCCATAAATAGGACCTTGAAATTTTTCTAGAGTCACCTGAGACTGTTCTGTGATGACAGAAAGGCTCTGTATTTGTGCTGTCCACACGTGACTATTAAATACCTAAAATGTTTCCATGGTAGGGGCTCTTGAGCTCAGCCCTATGGATAATTACATGTTATTGATAACATTGCAAGGAAAATACAGCTATCAAGCTGAGGAGGTCATCTGATTAAGTTCAATTCAAGGCAGAGAGTACAGAAAGTAGAAAGGCTGTAAAGTGCCATATGCTATGTGCCTGAAGTAGTCTAAGACCAGTAGGTAGGTCACCATGACTAGTGTCTAGTGAGGGGGAATAGAATGGGATAGAGGGGAGACTGCACAGGTAACAAGAGACCAAATCATATAAAACCCTATAGATATGCATGATAGCGCACACCTATAATTCCAGCACTGGAAAAGAAGATCATGAGTTTGGGGCCTCCCTGAGTTATATGGCAAGACTCTGCCTTAAAAAATTAATTGGCTAATTGAAATTAAGCCTTGAAGGCTCTGCATTTTGTCTCGCATAAAATGGGAAGTGTCGAATGGTTTCAGGAGAGACAGATGACTTATTTTTTAAAATAATAACTCATTTTTAAAAATAAGCACACTTTGTGTGCTATGTGGAGAAGAATTGATGGAGACAAATGAACTGGAGAATTGAAGATAGGAGCAAAATATTGCAAAGATAATTTCAATATTTCAGCCAGAAAAGTCTTAAACTACTGTGCCCATAGAAGAAGTAATAAATATGGGAATGAGATTATCTTTTAAAGGAAGAATTGATATGGTTTGCTCAAAGGTAGATGTGATCTGTGAGGAAGAAA